AAAAACGAACATGTTTAGGCGCAAATCATTCAAAAAGTATTGACTGTACAAAAAATTCTTATGGAACATTATTTGATTAGAATTCGTCCCTCTATTATTTATTTATTTTTAATAAAAAAATTCGCACCTTCCAGAAGGGGTGGCATCCACCTCTAGGGTAAAAGCGCACATCGGCACTATGTAACTTTTGTTTCTTGGGCTATTCCCTAGCTATAGTTCAAATTTCACGTCAGTCCATTCCATCCGAAAAAATTGGTAGCCAAAATGCTAGGTATACTTTTAAAAACTAATTCGTGAAATAGTTCCTCTAGCATTTCGTCCGAAGATTGCAGCAAAGCAAACCGCACCCTTATAGGTTGAGAAATTAAAAAGTTACGGGCTGTGCGCCAATTTAAAAAGTCACGTGACCTAACGTTTTTTTTTTTAATTTTCTTATAACTGTATCATTTTACTTTTCCAAAATTTTAACCTTAGACGAACCCCATTGAATAATATGACCGTTCCCCAAGCGCGATCGCAAATTTTAGATTTTTCGAATTCTCTTTTTTTGTCATTTTTGTGTTCATCTATTCTAATATTCACAGGTCGAGAAGTCTCCTCAACATAATGCTTATTGCATTCACAAAGTATGCAATAAATGCAATTTTTTGAATTTCGAAAAACATTATTCGGGCGCGTCTTTTACAATAAACTCCTTTAAGTATCAGTTGTCTGAAAAGCTATTCTAATGTTGAATTTGGTACTTACTTTGCTTAATTTTTCCGATAGTACAGGTATAGATGAAATTTTTGTTGTGGATGTAATTTCTCTTCTGTCTAACAGAATTTGTCTTATTTTCAATACCCCTAAAGACTGTTTCAACAAAATTCTCAGGGTATTGATTATTTTTTAATACATTCTTTATAAATTTTAACTCGTTATTAAAAATTTCATCTTTTAAGGAAATCAATTTAGCTGTACCATACAAACATTTAACTACACCTTTCTTTATATCAGTATGATGATTTGATGATTAAAATTTATACAGGGTATAAGAAGTTTGACTGCCGTTACTTCAGCATGACATAAAGTAATCACAAATGAACAAAAAACTTGTATATTACATTGGCGTAGGCTTAACAGTTTTCAAAATACAGCACGTGTACACGGGGCAAACTTGTCCTACGGAAAAAATGCGTAAACTGCTATTATTGTGAAACATGTAGTAGGTTTCAAGACAATTTTTCCAGTTTTTTAAATAAATAAAATAAAATGTATCGATTTTTTAGTACCAAAATAGTGAACATATGCTCAAAATGTCCACCACCATTTTTGATGCACGCACGACACTTTCGAATGCAATTTTCGCGCACTCGCTGGAAAACACCTCAAGAAAAGGAAATAGTGGTACGCAAGAAACACTCCGACACGGTCCAATTCCAGATACCAACTGAATTGCGTATTGTTTGACAGTTTAGTACCTCGTATTATCCGTGCGCCGTTGTCCCATTGTTCGATATAAATTTTATCGAATTTTAAATTTATTACAACGCTAATTATTTTTTAGAATTAAGCACAAAGAAGAATTTAAATTGTCAACAGTGTTTTCTTCAAAGAAATCCATAAAAATATTACTTAAAATTGGTGATAATGAACACCCCCTTGCCATGTAATTATTTTTTTGCAGTACTAATCTAAAGTTTTATTATTTCCTTTTATAAGCATTTTTAATGAAATCGAAGTACGATCCTGACTTGCGCGTACCACAACGGTCTCTATTAGGAAGAAAAAATAGAAAAATGACTCGGTCCTCGCTGAAACATTTCGTTGGAATGCACCAACACGCCCTGGCTGCGTACCATAGCAATAACCCAGATTCCCCTAAAACAAAATGCAGATTTTCCTCGTCCCGGATACCGATCATGTCGCCAGAACCCTTGTTTATCAGTTGTGTCCACTCTCTGTTATAAATAAGTTCCTGTCGGACGCCTCGCCAACATCGAGAGTACATGGAACTCTACACGAGCATGTTCGGCTCAACGTTAATGGCTTCGTGACTTGTTAACATCGGTGCACTCTAAAAGTTCATATTCCGATGACTCGAATAGATATAATCGTTTTTTTTTTCATGTACATGCGACTGCGGCATATTGTAAGTTTCAAGGTAATCCAACACGAGTGGCAAGGTACTTTTTTTTATAAAGCAATTGATTTGTAATCATTGTAGCTTATAGTTATATACGGTGGTCGCAGGACAAAGTTTTCAGGCTTCATTCAAAGCTGCTTCTCGTTGTACAACTTATTTGTAATTTGCTCCTCGTATCATTTCCGAGATTTTCCTGTGGCCTCAAGTAAATCACCGTGTAGAAAAACACGAATCTCCAGCCGGTATATTCCTCCGAACTAAAACTTATTACCCTCAAAACAATATCGCGTCGAGTAAATACATATTTTCAACGTCTGGGGTTGAGAACGGGATTAGATTTATATTCCTGCAAATACTATTCCTGCAGCCATACCAAACAGATAGGGACGTGCCGGAGCGGCTTCTATCATTTTATGTCACAAGAAATCTTATATATATTATCGGAAAACACTTAGGTGTGCGGGAAAGGCTATTTTATTATTTCCCTGTAATTTAATCTTAAAATCGTCTGTTGTTTGCGGTTCCAATGATTTGTTTTGTCATTTTTACGACGTATATCTTCAGATATTTCATTGAACGCGTTCTCAATAACGTTTCCATAAAAAATAATTTTTTATTACGTTACACATTTAGTTGGAGCGATGTTCTACAACACACGGTACATATACAATAAATTTAACGTTGCGTTCTTGTCCAGAGCTTTGCTTCATGAGACCAAGCTTGATGTGAAGAGAAAAGAGTTCGCTACAAGAGAAGAAAAGAAATCAAAGAACTGGCTTGATTCGATTCACGATTTCCTTTTCTTCTGCGATATTCTGCGATTTTTGCAAAGTTTTTGGGTAATGAGGCTCGGCAGACTTTATATTCAAATTCGACTCGACAAAATTTATGAATGAAACACTTGATCCAATCTAGAAAACCTCTTTCTAAATTTTGTCACTCGTTAATATGATTTCTTGTCATTTGCAAATATTTTCTTGCGTTTTTTGCAAAATCTGTGGAGGGATACAGTTGACACAGCTCATCACGGCGACTTGCACCAGCAACACCGACTATTAAGGGAACATAAAGAGGAAAAACTAATACATCTAGATCTAGATATTTGAAAATTTTCACATTTTCATACCTTATTCATTAAGTATATATGTATTATCTGGTGTTTGAGTAATATACTAGTAGTTTATTTGACATTAAGTACCTACTTGTTTTAGGAATTTACATGATTTAAATTTGTTTGCTTCTATTAAGATGCCTCAAAATTGCCCGAATATGCAAACAAATTTCCCGAAAAATCGTTTGAATGTTTATTACAAATGCATCCAAACATTTTTGAAATAGATAGGTTGAAACGAACTTCATATTTTGTACAGAGATGAACAATTTCGTAATTTAGAAGTTCAAAAAACGATAGAAATATTATACAAGGAATTTAAAATGGTATTTTAGGAAACATACAAATTGTTTTGCCCAGTTTTAACAATTCCTGCAACAAGTATCTCGGTAGAAGAGCGCTTGAACAACTTATCAGTGATGATGATAGGAAAAGAACTATTGCCGTTATTGTCGTTATAAGTAAATTTGCAAATTTAAAAGACGGAGGAATAAATCTGTTTTATAAAAACATTCACTGTTTTTAAAATATTTGGTTAAAAGTGGAGGCAAACGAAAAGCTGGCGGCATTGTTTTATATGTAAATAGATAAGTTGAAAATTTGTTTTTATATTTTTTCATATTTTTTAATATTAATAAACCAAGAAGGAACAATTTTGTTCATTATTAGGTAAATATATCACTTTTTCTGTTACTTAATTCTATTGTACCTAAATACAATTTTTACAGTTTATTGTTATTAATAATATGCATTTTTTTAATTTACGGTTATAGTAGGGGTATTTATTACTTGAGAGCGAATTAATAAAATATCCAAATAGTTGCGTATTATTTTTTATAATGTCTGAATGAAAATCCTGCTCGTGAATATCAGTTTCACAGCTAATAATAGAATATGTTTTCAAAAACCATTTCAATTGTTTCTCTTGTTTCAGCGCGTCATATTTCGGGAATGCAAGTGTTTAAAAACCTATCAAATATTTCTTAGTAGTAATACGTTATAAATATAAATAACCTTCGTTAATATACAAGTTTCCAAATGCTTACAATTCGCATGTGATAACTATTAAACATTTTTGACTTTATAATACTTATCTCGATCCATTTCCGATGCGGAACTAAATTAAAAAGTGATATCTAACCAAGAATATTGTTGTTACACTAGAGTATAGGCTAATCGATACAAATACAGGACACCACAACCTGTCAAAAATAAAGGACAGTTTTTCTCGCTCAAATTTAAGATTACTTTAACATGGGAAATATTTATTTAAAAATAAGTATGTACATACGACTTTCAAAGTGTAACAAATATTTGGTGGTGACCGCTGGGCGCGGGGTTAGTACGATCGGAGTGAATTTGGTGTCGTAGATTGGACCTTTCTGCCCGAGATAGAAGTGATCAGGCCACGAAAAGTGGTGAACCTTTACATTTTAGCTATTTTTATAAAACTCTGTTTATTTCAAGCTTATTTATACAATACACATTTCGAAAAAAATCGGCGAATTATTTACAAAATATTCTTGATTATTCAATGTAAATATTAGCCCTCCAATAACTCCTCTTTGTCATCCCGGCCCTCCGCCTATGGCGCAATTAATAATCCGTTATCAAGCGATATTTCAAACGCAATTTTTTTCGGTAGTGATGAGTGTGTCCTCGCGAGATGCGGTTGTTATGTTTTGATTAGAGATAAAAATGCGTGAACTAGTTATTTTCCAATTATACCGACGATGAAGGCTTGTAAGTATCTTATTCGCAGACAAATGAGTGTAGCATTCCTTTAATTCAATCTGTGGGCGGCTATTTTTGTACGACTGCAAGTGTTTTCACACGGAATTACTCGGGAATATATTTAAATTTGCAGCACGTGTGCGATTCTCCCAAATCAAAGTGACAGTGGCAAGTAGGAGTTTTAAAAAAAGTGTTCAGTAGTGTAAATTATGTGTGCGAAAGTTCGGTGGTGTCTTAGTGACCGCTAGAAAATATACAGGGTGTCTCTACAATTATTCAAGAGTGAGATGTACCATTTTATGGCCCACATTCTAGAGAAATTTGTCTGTGTACTATTTTTTTATGTTTTGTGTTAAAATGCAGAAGCAAACATGTAGTGGAGTCGAGATAGATTTTGACTTCGCGAAAGTTACTGGAAGAGAAAACTTTTTATTTTTCGCTTTGTAAAGTTGTCAGAAACAACATATAAAAAGTTACCAACTGTAGAGTGTACGCTAAATTATTTACTTTTGATCTAATTGATCAAATCGACTCGCAAAAATTTAAATGAAAGAAGATTCATCCGGCTATCAAAATTTTATGTCTTTAAACTTGAGAAAAAAAAAATATATAGTACGTATACAAAGTTACGTCATTCTATAATTTTGTACAATAATAATAAAATAGCTGTCATTCTTTTAATTTTTATAATAAATATCTGTAACTTTCACAGATTACTCTTCAAATGACAATTGAAACAGTGAGCGATATGGAAAAAATTAAATTTGAAGAATATTGAGCCCAACATATTCAATAATTTTAAAATATCACAAATTTTACTTTTTAGGCCATACTTTATGGATCATAAACTATAGTTGTAAACGTGATATTGAAACTTTATTAGAGCACTTTTTAAAGCTTAAAATCTCTACTTTAAGATGGCGCATGCATATTATTTTTCTTAAAAAATTGAAATAATAGAAAAAACAGAAAATAACAAAAAATAAAAATATTTCATGAAAAATCCGTGAAATTTATTGTAAAAAAAGTTTAATAATGTACAAACAATTTTTTTGTTTAATAAACCGTCAAAGAATTAAGCTAAGACCCTAAAAAAAGTAAAGCCAGCGAAAAATATTTTTTTTATTTTTATTTATAATAATAAGTCGAAAATTGTTATAACAGCAAAAAAATTACGTTTTTTGATTAATTGATTTAATATTCATTTTTAAAACGTATAAGTTCTCTTATTGATGTAGACACAGATATGAGTTTGGGTGACGAAGCTAAGCAGTGAGCACACCAAATATTTTTTTCTTACTTACAGTTTTATTTATTTTAAAAGCATTTTTTGTTTATAAGAATTAGATAATTATTATTATAAATGGTATAAGAATATGATTTTATGTTTTCGAGTAAGTTGCAGTTATCAGTGTGTTAGAAAGTGTATTATTCACATATTTTGTCCATTTTGAGGTTATACCTACTCTCGTACACTTGTAATTCTTTAATGTAATAATACTTAATATTACAAATAATCCTCAGTTTGCATTTAAGGTATTTATATTCGTTTTCTTTTATGCTAAACCTGTAAATGTATGAGTTTAATATTTATATATGAATATTGATCCATTTTTAAAATAATGAATAAATACATAATAGGGGACGTTGATTAAGATTTTGTAATTTTGTATTTAAAATCAGTATTTTTTTTTTCAATTTTATTGGCTCTAAGCCTTAATTGCCCAGTTATTTTTGAGGAAGAGCAAGATCTTGATGAGATTTAAAAATTCATTATTTTGTAATAAATTCGTTTTTTAAAAAATAAAACATATTTTCAATAAAATATCTTTAGCCATTAATAATTTTCATTTTTCGAACCCCTATATTAGAAATATAAGCGAGATTGATTTAAAATCGAAAATTGTTAAATAAATCGTTTAAAATAGTCGGCCATATTGGATCAGCCATTTTGAATTTTCGTTTTCCGACTTCATATTCTTGTTCAGCGACAACGAAAACCCCTAACTATATTGTCAATTTGAAAGAATTCGATTTAAAATTCATTGAATTATTTTAAATGTTCTTTAAAAAACAATTGGTGTACAAAAATAAGTTTATAACTTTTTTCTAATACTTATCTCCAAGTAATTTCAAAAGATTTTAGGAAAATCCATGCTTCCCATAATTATTTCGAAATAATGAGTAACTGTAAGCTATCTTGACTCCACTAATGTATTTTTTTGTAATGAACCACCCTACTTATAAGAAAGGATTGCTTTGTCATAAATTTACCAGGTGTATCTCTAATACTAAGACAGACAGGCAAAAGAGTGTTCTGTAAGAGTATTGAGTTAGAAATAAATCTTTTAGGTGCCACTACGTCTAATAAATTACATTTAAGTGGTCATTTTCCAAAAAAAAAAACATACTTACGGTTGTAGATTTTAGCACAAACAAATTGTGCCAAATCATGTGTCAAGAAAATTATTTAGGGTTAAGACCTCAACCTTTTAGTTTCATCTTGCGTACTAAATCTAACTCTAATCCTCCGTAAAGGATTCTAATTTAAGGAATAGTAGTGGTTTTAAAAGCGAAACGATTGAAAAAATTAATTCCAGGAAGTTAAATACTATCATAAAGTTCAATATTATGCCTTTTAAACAGGAAATCTGTTAAATTATTCAAAAAGTAATTTATGTAATAGTTGCAAAATATAACAAATCAACAGTCTGTCAAACTAAAGTTGCCACAACCTTCTCATCCGCATGTATACAACAATATTCAACACTTCATTGGTTTTCAATCAATTTTTTGAGTGTTATTTTATTGACAGACTGTTCTGTTGTTCCAGACCGAATAGCCATGGGATCTAGCAGCGGGGGGAAGAAGAAATACGTGAACTTCCGAAATAGACAGCGTGCCAATATGAGCTTCTTCCTCGTCGTTATGTTTTTCGCGGTGTTCGGCATCATCGTCTTCACGGAGATCTTTTTCATCGACGAAAGGGGACACGCCGGCGGGGTCCTTGTGCGCCACGGGTCGCTGAACTACCAGCACAAGCAGGACAGGGTGGTCGACTACGAGGATGGCTTTCAGGTGAGAATATAATGATCAGATCTATATTTTTCCTACAAGAATTAGTGATACAATCAGAAATATTACAAGATGAAGAATAAGCGTCAAAAATTATATAAATAACTCAAAAAAATGTGATTGATGCAACATCCTGAGGTAATATGGCAACTTGATTTCAATGTGACCATAATTTTGTTGACGAATATGGCAGGATTAGAGGTAATATGACAATATTATGGCGAGTATGGCATAATTGTCATGAAGATTGCCGAAGTCACGTTACCCCCATGTAGTCCAGACGGTATCATATTTTGGTGAATCGTGTATCCACGGAGATTTTTGGCTTTTTGGCTTTCAGTTATCACTAGAAATTAAAATTTTTCTATGCGCATAAAAAAAACGTGGGCTTAACTTTTGGCGGCACAATATGTTAAAAAAATTCTAATAATGTCATATTTTTCTTCCTATTTAATTATGTATCCTTTCAAGAGTTGATTTTAGGCGAAAATGGAAGAGGAAAAAAATGTTTGTAATTAAATTTTACAAAATATGACTTGTTACAAATCGAATGAATCATGATTATTATGGTAAAAATCGAAAAAATCGCAAAAATTGGGATTAAAAACATTACTTTTTAGGGAATTTTTTTCCTCTTCCATTTTTGCCTAAAATGAATTCTTGAAAAAATACATAATTAAATAGGAAGAAAAATATGACATTTTTCGAATTTCTTTAACATATTGTGCCGCCAAAAGTTAAGCCCGCGTTTTTTTAATGCGCATAGAAAAATTTTAATTTCTAGTGATAACTGAAAGCCAAAAAGCCAAAAATCTACGTGGATATACGATTCACCCAAACCAAAACAGATACCGCCTAGTCTAATGCTATTCTTCCATTTTCCCATCATCAATGAAATTTATAAAACAGTTCTCCTTTAATTTTTGTGTACTTAACTCTATTTTTCTACAGTCCTTACTTAGCATAGAACTAATATATTTCTCTTATTTTCCTTTTATAATGAACAGTGCGAACGCAAATAAAAATGATTCAGTCAGAAATAAAATAGAAGCCCTTTGCAGTTGTCGACAGGCAATAAATCCATTATCGATGTGGAATCAAATATCACGTCATATAAATATTTCGTGAACGCGGGCTTGCTGTTTGAATAAATATTAACGTTGACAACAATATGAATACGTATGAATGGCAAAGTAAGAGATATATAGATTTTACCGAAATAATACTCGCGTATCTTATCTTATCTTTCAGCTGTAGCGATTATATAAGTACCGACGCAATGTCACTATCAAACAGTGACTAGATCTCCTATATCTATTTGAAATATAACAGGGATCCTAAAAATTGTGCCTCAAGGATCTGCTCTAGGGCCACTTCTCGCAACGATGCTAATTAATGACAGCAAAATAAAAAAAATTGTACTTACATATTTTTAAAATTTGGGATAATTTCATTAAGCCAAAGCCAATTTGTAAAAAATTAAACGATTGATAACTGCGGAATGGAGATTTATACAGGGTGTTTCGCATAAGAACCGACACAGAGCTGGGGCACTTAGGGGAACCCAAAATATGGTGATTTAACGCAACCTAAACTGGCTGGAACAAGTTCGTGAAGAGAGCCGAAAAGTTTCCTTCTCTAGATAAGTAAAATAAGCAATATATAAAACGTAAATTTGAACCATTATATACGCCATTTCTTGGTTAAGATCAGAGTATTCCAGGGTTGACTTTATAATTTTGTTCACACACATAGTGCAATGGTAAACGTGATATTATAAATTGTTAATAAAATAATGAATAAATGATTGTATCATATATTTAATAATTATTTACTTTACGTAAAAGTCTATATGAAATTTTTACAATTCCCGTAATTTTTAGGGAGCTGAAAATGAATGTGATATTATTTTTTGCGATCGAATAATTAACAAAAAATTAATTTGAAATTCATTTTCAGCACCCTGGAAGGGGGTTGGCAAAATCTGATTAGAAAAATCAGTTGTTTTATGGTAAAATAAATAATTACCAAATGTCCTGTGCTTTTCTTATGGGACTAAAACCCGCTACCAACTTGAAAAAAATAAATTCTATTGAAATTATTTGCGATAAACATCTATATAGCAAAGAAATCTACTCATATGCACATAGCATACATATTGACTAATTAACAATATAAAAATATCATATTTAAGTAGTTTTAAATTATATTTAATGAACGTTTAAAGTCTATGTAGATGTGGCTACAGCGCTGATAATTGACTAGCAGTTGTACACATTGCGAACCTACAGACCTCGGACATCGGAGATATTGCGCATCAAATTCGGGTAAAGATGCGTACGCGTTCAAAAATGTATTGTGTGTAAACTATGTACAATATAATTATTATATATAGCAAATATATCGTATTATCCTCGCGAAGATTTGTATCCTTTATTTAAAATCCGTAAATCATGTGAACTGGTAAAACAACGAGAATTATGTTAATTTAGTTCTAAAGAAATGAAATGACACTCGCGCCCATCTCTCGTCCAAGTCAAAGAAAATGTTGGATGCAATTTTGAAGGTTCTGTGATAGAAATTACATTATTACTCACTGTTCGTGTTTTTAATCTCTATTTTAGTAATGTTACAAAAGTTTTGCAACTATAACTAATTTTTTAGATATAAAGTTTGCTGAGAAATATTTATGTTCCTTTGTTATTCCGTACAAATGCTTTTATCTCATGTATTACTAATTATATTAATCAAGCAAACTTTATGTAACCCTAAAAATTGCTGGGTAATGACTGCGATGTTTTTATAAACCATTAAATATATTAAAAGGATTTATCAACTGTATTTTTTATTCCAATAAATATATCACAGCTTCCTAGTCTTTTTTAATTAATCTAGTTTTTTAAAACCATTACAAAAAATCATCTGTTTTGAATAATTTATTGTTGGTAACATGTACATGGGATTTAGGAAAAATGTATATGTTTCAAATCAATTTCGTTTTTATCCAGTCTTTCAAATGTATTCCCTCCTTGCTGTCAGCTGATTGCGATGTTGCCACATTAATTCTCAACTCGGACAGAAATGCAATTATTGGTTTCTGTTTCTAATCAATACAGCTGTACTATGTTCAAAACTTACATTAGTTTTACATCAAAAATGAGATAATACTGTGTACTATCTATGGAAAAGTTTTGTTTCACAATTTCTACATTGTTTTTCTCAGTTATGGGCAAAAAAAGAGCCGCACCGTCCATCTTCGCCATATAAACCTATGTTAAAATGAACAACTTTCAACAACAATATCTCAAAATCTAGATTCAAAAAAAATTTCAAAAAAATATGACGCACAAAGGGAGCACTGGGTAATACGCTATATAAATTTTAAGTACATCTGTGCATTTGAGTAAACCCGATATACCTCCTTAAGTTGTTTGTTTTTCTATTAAATTATTCTTATTTCAACTTTTTTCCTGATCGTCAAGTTTGACGTTTAAATTCATAGCCAACTTTTGAATTTTCGATGATTTTAAATAACAGCTACAAAACGTATTATTAGTTATTTGTGTTTTTATTGAAAACGACAAGGTTTTTTGAAAACTAACAAGAGTAAGAAAAGTTTGAAAATTAAATTCCCCATAAGATAAAGTAATAATTTTTTAAGTCCTCCAAAAGGTTAAAAAATTCTGTCACATTTTAATGGTGCACCATCCCTTACTAACCCTTTAAAATGCTACAATTGAACTCTACTTATTGTCGATTAATGCTCTTGGTACGCTCACACCGTGTATCAAATTTGGTTTTTCTAAGTTCAAGTATAACCGAGATATTGAATTTTTTCGAAATTGACACTCCATTTTCAAGGCCTACAACTTCTCAGGAGTGCAACTTAGTAAAAAGGTAAGCTGCGTTAAATCATCGTATTTCGGGTTCCCTACATACCCCTGCTCTGTGTCGATTCGTATGCGCAACACCCTGTATATTTTATTTTCGTAATTGGCAAAATAGCTGACGAAGCATAATTAAAAGCGCCAGTAATTTTATAAAATTGCTCTCGATCAATTATTTATTAACTGACGTTTCCGACGCTACGCGAAACAAAATAAAAGCGGTAATTAAAACATTTAAAATATTACCCAGACAGTCCCAAACTGCGCGAATCAATCGTATTTGTTCCGATTAAACATTTGCGGGCAAAAAAAAATAATACCCGTGCACGTTTGATTAAATTAGAGTGGAATTTCGCGTTCCCAACAACCCAATTTTGTGTTTCGTTTTATGAAACACCCGATGAAATGTAACCGGAACAAATGCGGTTTAATTTTGTATCAATTAACGGAAAATATCACGAGGCGGAGGATACTCGCATCTTTTTGTCGAGAAAACATAAATCTGTTGTCCGATTAGACAGCGCAATGCATAATCATGGCGGTAACTCGGATGTAGGTCAGTGAATCGAACTGGTCGATTAGGATGTGGATAATGTTTTGTTCGAGGGACGGACGGGTTAAAATTTGCTTTGATTAATAGGGCCCCGGGAAATCTGCTTCGTGGTAAACCGCAGAGAAAATTTAATAATGTGGATAATTGGATTATATCCTCATGATCACCGGAAAATGTTTGTAGGAACGAATTTGGTTTTGCGCATTGTGAACCACAAGAACTGGTAAACTATCTCGTGGCGATAGTAATGAAGCATCAGACTTTTCTGCCAACAGAACGTAGTTAAGGATGTTCGATACATCTCTTGCGGGGCAGGCGGTGCGGGAGTTTCGTTGTAGTACCAACCTTACATAAATTAATTTGAGTGAACTAAATATAATATATACGAATGAAATTTATACAACACATATTAGCTTGCATATATTTTTTGTGTTTAATGCACGGCAATAAACTTTTTATTTGAATAAAAGTGTCTGTTTATTCATTAAGAGCTTGTAAAATTATGGATGAAATCTGGCAACATTGTTATGGCGTGGTGGTAAAAGTTGGGTCAACTGTCATTA